CGACTCCATATATCAAATCACACATAAAAATATAAGCCAAGAAAGTGGAAATACGACAGACAGGACATGCGATGTTTGGATCAAGGGATGGTTAAAGAGGGTGACATCTCAGATATGGTAACATCACCTCTGTTTTGCTTATTGTAATGTCACAGCAAGCCTCGTAACGAAAGCATGGTGTAGCTGTCACCGTGCAGCACGGCCCTCCGTGTTCTATCAAAGCATCGGTGGCACGCGCGACCGAGTTATGTAGTGTGTGCCAACGAGATTGGGTCACAGCGCGGGACCAACTACGACAGTCAGCTGATCACAAAATTGGTTCATAATACCCGCAAATACTAAAATAATTCAACAGGCAGGCATATTAGTGTAATGTCGAGAAAATATGGGCGTAAAAGCGAGAAACTCATTCCTTCAGACAGACACTCACTATAAAGCCGGTACCTACCACGGAGTTATCGTAAGCTGTGTGCATTGCGCAATGACAGTCGGGTCGTCTCCCTCCAAGAGTAGCAAAGGCCTTTGTTACACCACCATTCCAACAGACGGCAGCCAGCCCGCGGCGCAGCCCGAGGGCTCCATGGTAGCGTTTGAGGAGCCGGGGCTGATCGAGATGGAATGCGCCCGCGGCGGCCGGGACCGGCGCACTATGGTTGGAAACGGCCTCACGGATGGCCGTGGGCAATTTCGGAATATATGTATATTTGGGGTGTCATTCTGTTGGAAATTGATGAAATGTTTTGAATTGGGCAGAAAAAATTATTTAGTTGCGCATTTAGTCTCCATTATTGTACGTGGAATCGGGAGTTTCTGAGAGTGGCTTTTTTGGTGCGCCGTCAAAGGTTTAAACAAACGCGCTGGTGATAGCATGTGGAGTACCTCCATGACGTTGTAAAACTGGATTATTATATATCAAAATAATCCTTGTTATGTTGGCTATCGAGTGGAGCGACTCTTTTTCCCATGCGTGTTCAAAATCAGGAACGGCATTGCATTCTGTTTGCAGTGTCACCACAGCAATATTTGCAAAATTACGTTTATGTTTCATTGGACATACAAAAAGTTCTCCATCGACCTCCATTGAGCTTTTTGGCAGAATAAGTCTCTGTTCAATTCTGCGTAAGGGGAACGTAAAAGCAGACTGCGCACTTGTGCGCAAAATCGTCCGTGAAGCTTCATCTCCCGAGGCGTACCTACCCGTCGCTTCGTTAGCACCAGGTCGGCTCGTCAGTCTTGCAATCGCTTATCCTTATAAATGATGGTAAGAAGCAGGGTTGCGGAGTCGTGGTGGCGCCAAATCCGACTCCGACTACGACTCCGACTCCTGACTCGTTGCCATGACTCCGGCCGACTCTGTCTCCGACTCCGGACCCCTGCCAGTGTTTCGGAGTCGTGATGGAGCTGTTCCGATTCGGACCGACTCCGACTTCCACTGCGGGCTCCTGACCGACCCCGACTCCGACTCCGACTCCTGGCTCGTTGCCACGACTCTGGGCGACTCTGGCTCCGACTCCGACTCTGACTCCGACTCTGACTTCGACTCCGCACCCCTCGTAAGAAGTAACTGCTCGCCGCTGCACCTGGAGTATGGATATCGTGCAAAGGTGTATGGATATCCTGGAGTATGGATATGGATATCCACCGACAGAGCAGACATACAGACATGCTGTAAACGCCATTACACTGCCAATACCATGGCAAATCAAATGGCTATCTATGGTTTTTGATAATCGTTCTACATTTCCCAAAATCTTGAACTGAATGTTGGCAATTTCTCGTGACTACTTCACGACCATGATGCATGCATTTCTGAAATTGATCTTTTTTCAACCAGCTACGTACTCGTATGATAAAATGAATGTCACCATCGTGTTCTACGCCCAAAAGTACCCATAAAACATGTGTCATGCATGGGCTGCGAATAGGTACCAGTTTTAATTTTCGGGGTTATGTGCTTACCTGATTGACCTGACTTTGACCCTGGCCAGTGGCCTATGTTTGACTGACCCCTACATTGATCTGACACTCTTTTAGCACTTATATGAAGGGTTGTGACAGTTGTGACAGTTGTAACAGATTGTTTAGGACCAACTGACTGAATTTATTTAGGACCAACTGATGACAATATAATCGAAACGCGAAACGCGAGGCACCGATTGCGAGGTTCTAAAGTCCATGCTACTGAAAGCCCGATTTCAAGTGTTTGACCTGACCTTGACCCGACCTGTGACCTCGAAATTCAACTTTAAAGCATTCATGTGAATTGTCTCGTCGCGTTCTTCTTTCGTTTGCCGCGCCTCGTGCGTTTCGCTGCGCCTATTTGTTCGCGAGTCATCGGCTGGGGGCGTTGAACGCCCCCCCCCCCCCGGCAAACGGCGGATGGGGAAATACCCCAGCAACTGCCGGGTTAATCTGACGCATGTTTTGTCATTTGATCGTCATTTTATTTCTTACTTTTTTGCACAATCTAAAAAAATCATAAATACTCTTTCTCCAAATTTTTGACCCTTTAAGACCAATAGTAAGACACTGTGCGTCACTACGTTGATATTTCTTGCCCTAAAGCATAACAACAATATCCATTCAGTAATAGCAGTATTCAAAACATGTTCAAAATGCCTCGCGATATCGATAACATAACGAAAGACATAGGCGACTTATAACATACTTGCAATGATGACGTCACACACGCGTGACGTGACGTGACCTCGTCATTTCTGAGTTACTGTATGATGCACGAAAGACACTGGTATACCTATGCAAAGTTTCATCGCAGTCGGTCTACGCATTAACAAGTTATGGGCAAAACATGTTTTCGCGTTGACCCCCGGCCATCCGTGAGGCCGTTTCCAACCATAGTGCGGCGGCTCTGAGGAACCCCTGCGCTCACCGGCCTCATAAACATGTGATGACAGGGCGGCGCAGCGGGAAAGGAAGGAGAAAAGGACGGTGACGGACCCAGAGCGTGTCGTCAGAGCGAGCCGTTTAGTTCAGAGATGAGGGTTTGAAACATACCTAAGCGGCTTGCCAAACATGCGCACAGCTTTTCAAATTAAAAAGAGGAACTAATACTAGTAAATTTTGCTTGAAAATTATAGCGACAAATACCAGCGCAACCTAAGGAAATTCTAGTCACGCCCGTGCAGACCGACGCCAAAAGCTCTCGTAATAGGGACCTTGATCCAATTGCCCGCCGCTTCGACTTTACAAGAAGTCGCGGCTCGATACAGTCGGGGAAACTGTGGTCAAATCTTCCATTTTTAGAAAGCCTTCCATTTTTGGAAGGATTTTCTATATATGGGTACGCACCTTCCAAAAATGGGTACGCTGACGACGTCATCGTACCCAAATATAGAAAATGTTGCGCATATGTTGGAACTTACCGATTTCCGCCGAACATGAGGCAAATGCGACTATCGCCCCTGGTCGCTTTCTATTCGCCATAGTGAAGTGTCCATAATCTAGCGTGGATGCCTAAATCCTAGCGTGGATGTATTTTAGGTAATTTTTCAAAGTAATGAGTCGTGGAAAATTGACAAAAATTTACCGACAAACGATGGTTTTATAAGACTTTATCAAACATTTTGTAAGCAAAAAGCATCAAAAACGAAAAGTAAATATCCTTAAAAGTACTTTAGTGACGGGCCATGCTTGTTCGATACCGCCGACTTTATTTACAGTGCGGAATTGTCTGGACAGTGCGGCGGTTTCGGGAGTGTAGTGGCGAGTAAAACTTGTATTTGTTGCCGTTTTCTGCATTTATTAGCATATTGTGTGGTTGATTTCAATTTTTTAAGGCTTTTGCCAAACATTTGGGTGGAGGTCTCGTCATTTTTCAATGTTTTTTCCGGAATATGGGACGAATTAAATAGGCGTTGCTGCGCCGTTTTTCGTGTTACTTTCTATCGAAGGAGCATGAATCTTCAATTTATATGAGGAATAGTAAGTTTAATTTAAACCATTTTTTGTCAGGGCTATAGCTGTGTTCCTCCTGGTTGGTTATTGACCAGCTGTTTTCTCTTCTGAATTTCTATGTGTCCTCTAGAAGTAGAAAAAGAGAGCAGTGCGCCAGGACACCATGCTATTATATCACTATGTACATTGACATAGCATGCCTGTATTACCAACACTAGCACTGCTGCTTCTCCTTATATCAATGATCATAAATGGCAAAATCAACTATTAATGTTACACATTTAAAAAGGCCGTAACTTAAATCAAAGAATGTGAATCACAGTTGGGAACACTGAGATTAGACCTTCCAATTTTGGAAGCCTTCCATTTTTGGAAAATGCATACCCATTTATGGAAGGTCCTTCCAAAAATGGAAGGCTTCCAAAAATAGAAGATTTGACCACAGTTTTCCCCACTGGATAAGACACATTTTAGCGTGAAGTCTCTGGTCATGTTCGCTGAAGCGGAACAATGACGGGGTCCACCAGCGGAGCACCTTCCACGGTTGACCACAGTGAACAGCTGCGGTTGTCACTAGCTTCCACCGCTCAGCCCGCACTGGAAGCGCGAGCAGCCAGCGGCGACGGCCCAGCTGACTGCTCACAGCTCTTCTGAGAGCCCGAGGGCAGGTGAATGTCAGTGACCGGTCACAGGCCACCTGAAAGCCAGGGAGGCCAGAAGCTCCCGATGAGCCCGGGGCGGAGGTCTATGACCGGCACAGACGCCCACGCAGTCGTGCCAGGAGCACGGCCGACACCACCGCCCGCAGGTAGCAGAGGCGGTTAAGGTCCAGAACACAGGTCCCCTCCTCGCAGACACCTGGTCGCTCGCCGACTGCTCGAGCAGAGACTTCTGGAACACCTGGCGCCCCTATGAGCCACCAGACGGTTGACGCGGCGCTGTGCTGAATAGGGCTCATCAGAGCAGCGTTCTCCGCACGAAATCCATCAAAACTCAAACCCACACAAACGTATCGCGACACACAAACAAGCGCGAGGCATATGCCGATCACGATACCCTCGAAACTACACCACTGCAGTACTCACCACTCAGATCAGCAATCAATCCTTCTCAGTTTGCAGTTCACCTCTCGACCAAACACCACTACCTCTCGATCGCGCCGACCGCGAGCCGGCCGCCACCGTCACCACTGGAAAAGCCACTGAGTACGCGCCGCGCCGCGCCGCGCCGAGCCGGGTCGGACCAGGCGGCGACGGGAGAGCCCTCTGCCGGGCGCCGGGAGGCAGGTCGACCTCCAGAGGTCAGAGAGCAGCGGTCGGTCGGCCTCCGTAGGCCGCCAGCCGGGCCGGTCTGCTCTCGCACCGAGCCAGCATTGACAGTGGAGCAGGGGATTACGCACGGGTGGTGGAGTGGAGGGGGAAGGGCTGCAACGGGGAGGGAGGAGGAAGAGGTGCGCGGTGCATGGACCACTGGGATAATCACGTAGTAAAGCGGCCTCCGTTAGAGGATGCACATGGGAGATGCATGGTGGATTCAGAGAGTTAGAAACGAATCAAGAAGAAACGACAAGTCAAGAAGACACTGAAAATATACAAAACATTTCATCACTCCGTCAAAACTAGCCTTCGTAAAATTCACTAGCGCTAGTCATGAAAATGAATGCGTAAATAAGACCCACAGATAAAGTTTCATAGTCGTCCTTCACTCACGGCGAACGTTGCATGCAACGTATTCCATACACTCCGTTGTTACCTCACCGTGGCTACCGTCGCCTGGCGACCGTCCTTACGCTGCTATCCTGCAGCTTAGCATACAATCGTGCGACGAGTGAAGGGCCACGCTACAGCACGGCCTAAAGCCAACAAACCGCTCTTTGTCACGGTGTATACTGACGATTATGAAATCGCCACTTGGGGGATTATCCATCCTTGCAAGGCTGACATGCTGATAAAAATCAGGATTGCTCCACGAGGGACGGTGTCCTTAAAAACACATCCGGAAGGAACACATCAGTGATTAAGTCATGAAGGTGATATTATCGGCTACTTCAGGATGGGGCCGAAGAAATTAAGGAAAGAAGTTTCTTACGGGCGATGCCAAAAGAAAACTGGCCCAAGCTGCTTGTTATTAAGTTTGTAAGTTACCTAAGCCACGGCCGATCAGAAGCTGCACATTGACCGGGCCCCGCTCTCTGTCCTAAGTCATTATAACACGGGGATCGGCCGAATCCCTCAGTCACATGACAGAAGCCAGGGAGGAGTGGCTGTAGCTCTCCGTCAACTCTAACCTTCCCCCATCAGCTGAACACGAGCCCGGTTCGAGCCCAGACGCGTTCGGCCGCGCCCCGATAGGTCACAGAGGTGGGGCGAGGGTGCGCCGGAGGCCCACATTCGAGCAGACCGCGCGGCGCAGGGGAACTATGAAACTTCCTCGGTGCATGTCGGAAACAGAGAGGAAATAAATGATCTGTGGAATATAATGTTACAGACCTAAGATGGATGCGAATATAAAGGTCAAGTACGGAATATTTAGATAATAAACACTGTGCCATTTACAGCAAATAACAATTGAAAGGGCTTCAGGCTTAGTTGATGCCTACCCCAGACTTGTGTTATGGACATCGCGAGGTAGCGGTGTAACCAGGTGGTCCGGCTACTGCAAAGCGTCCCACCAAATACACTAGTGTTCATGATATAGGAAAAAGGAATAAGGGCACAGGAGGAGGAAAGTAAAACCGCAGTAGGTGCTACAATTACCCGGAGCTGAGCAGCACCAAGGAAATCAGCCCTTTTTAACGCAAAGCAAGCCGTGCTCGTCCTAATGAATGCTCATGAACGAGCACTATTGTTGCATTATGCATTTAGCTCTGATTTTTTAATCCAATACCCACGTCCCGTCCTTTCCGTCCGACGCAATGTCACTCGATCGGAAAGTACAAACGCCATACGATTTAAAGTGAGGTACCGATGCGGGCCGGCAGACCCGCATCCCCAGCTCGTCGAGTGGTGTATGGCAGTGACTCACTCATTGCTAGATACACACAGAGCCGGATCTGGTGAAAATACCTCACCAATAGAGTAACTGAGCTGCACCGTGCAGAATAACAGCCCGAATGAACAAAGGAACGGAAGACACACGCACACACAGAGCAGTGCCTACAACCGGGAGCTTTGCCCGGCTGCAGGAAAATGCGGCAGGCATTTGAACGAGTGCATGTCATAAAATATCCTATTGTCCGAGGATGTTCAACATTTACCCAAATCGAATAATCGATATATCATGAGATAAACTTCAATTACACCCTCTGCAAACGTATCCAATTGACATGTGTCAATCAAACTTTCCGCGGTTCCGGCCCGTGCCTGCTGCACTGATCGAAGACTGAACCGCTGCACTGAGATGTCCATCTCACAGGACTAAAGGTTACTATCGCTGATTCTTCTCTACGTGTCAATATGCCAGCCTGACCGGTCAGGCAAATAAAGCGATGGAGCTTCATCAGACACAAATGACAGCTCAAGAGGCAGTCACGTTTGCCACTTAACGTTTTGTCAAAGCATTCGCTTAAAGGACAGTCGTGACGCTTCTGTATTTCAAGTTGCGCAGCTTGCTATGATGCAACAAGCCTCTTTGAAAAGGATAAGCTGTTTCACAGCTACTTATACCTGCTATATGCTAACAACAAACCATTACAATACGGCATGCAAGCGTCAGTTGGGGGTTGAACCGTGCGCTACCGATTAAGGTCAAGGTTCATCAGTTACTGGTCGAGAATAACCCGACTTAATTAGACAACAATACGGTTAATGGCCTTGCAGCATCGGTTTTGTCGAGTTTCTTATATCACAGCGATTCTGGATTGAAACTAGGATCCATGCAAATTGAGCCTAATTGGCTAATGAAGGTGAATTATAAAGCTTGTGAGTGACCGGCACAGCTATAGTTCCGATAAAGCTTCATCAGGAAGGCTCATGTTTAATATGCGCCATTGACTGCGCACTGAGCCGTGAGCACATGCCTCATCACCGACGAAGGCGGTTACTACAGCTCCCAGAGCCTCTCACCGACGGGAGATGGTTACTACAGCTCTCAGAGGGGAGGAGGGAGGATGGCAGAGATTGGTCAAGCCTCTTAACGCCAGCTTAGACACCGACCCACCCGCGAGAGGCACTACTGTACACACAGGAGCTGGCGTGGAGGCCTTTCTACTTCCCCTCCCAGTCACTTCGGTAGCGGCGGCACGCCATTTCCCAATGAACGGTGACGAAGCCTTTCAGAGACTGGGGGTTCGTTGGTGGCCAGACCCGAGGTCTGAAAGGAACAAGGTCGCGGTGCCCCGACCGGAGGCCGGCACAACTGCAGAGTAACTGACGCCCGTTGGCACAGCCCGCGTGCGGGTATAATACAGAGGACGCACAGGGGGCTTATTGTTCCCGCTACACCGAGCACGGCACCTATCCGTGCTTCTATCCTCAGGATACTGAAATCCTTCTCCTCCACGCCACAACCCCCTTCCGGGCTGGACAGGCAACTTTATCTCATGCGGGCTGCTCCCTTGGAGCGGCACCGCTGCTCCCGAGGGAGCTATGTCCGTCAAGACAGCCCATATTCAGCCCAGATTCAGCCCGGATTCAGCCCAGATTCGGGACACCTCCGATCAAGCTGAAACTTGCACACAATGTACGCCATGACATGCCCAATCCACAGTCCAAGTCATTCGGTGGCACTCCCAGCCGTTTGACCTACAGAGGTCAGCAAAGGTCACGTGGCCCAAATTTGCACAGCAGATTGTGGCCCACCCAGTAGAGCTAGAGCGCTAAAAATGGCACCAATCGACTCGCCAGCATCTAATCTTACTTTCCCAACACTCATTTGACCTCTCAAGGTCATGCGATGACCTAAGGTCATTTGTGGGCTATATCGAAAATACACTTGCACAGCAGTTTTCGAGTAGATGAATTGACCGAATTCCAAATCAGAGAACATCATCGGGTAGCCCATGGGCCGTAATAACTTTCCTTGAAAACCGCTTTTCGATATGTGACCCCGTTTGACCTCGGCAGGTCAAAATGTGCAAATAATCGACACTCAATACGTCGCAGCCCGGATTCAGCCCAGATTCGGGACACCTCCGATCAAGCTGAAACTCGCACACAATGTAGGCCATGACATGCCCAATCCACAGTCCAAGTCATTCGGTGGCACTCCCAGCCGTTTGACCTAGAGAGGTCAGCAAAGGTCACGTGGCCCAAATTTGCACAGCAGATTGTGGCCCACCCAGTAGAGCTAGAGCGCTAAAAATGGCACCAATCGACTCGCCAGCATCTACTCCTACTTTCCCAACACTCATTTGACCTCTCAAGGTCATGCGATGACCTAAGGTCATTTGTGGGCTATATCGAAAATACACTTGCACAGCAGTTTTCGAGTAGATGGATTGACCGAATTCCAAATCAAACCAATCGACTCGCCAGCATCTAATCTTACTTTCCCAACACTCATTTGACCTCTCAAGGTCATGCGATGACCTAAGGTCATTTGTGGGCTATGTCGAAAATACACTTGCACAGCAGTTTTCGAGTAGATGGATTGACCGAATTTAAAAACAGAGCACATCATCGGGTAGCCCATAGGCCGTAGTAACTTTCCTTAAAAACCGCTTTTCGATATGTGACCCCGTTTGACCTCGGCAGGTCAAAATGTGCAAATAAACGACACTCAATACGTCGCAGCCCGGATTCAGCCCAGATTCGGGACACCTCCGATCAAGCTGAAACTCGCACACAATGTAGGCCATGACATGCCTAATCCACAGTCTAAGTCATTCGGTGGCACTCCCAGCCGTTTGACCTACAGAGGTCAGCAAAGGTCACGTGGCCCAAAATTGCACAGCAGATTGTGGCCCACCCAGTAGAGCTAGAGCGCTAAAAATGGCACCAATCGACTCGCCAGCATCTAATCTTACTTTCCCAACACTCATTTGACCTCTCAAGGTCATGCGATGACCTTAGGTCATTTGTGGGCTATGTCGAAAATACACTTGCACAGCAGTTTTCGAGTAGATGGATTGACCGAATTCCAAATCAGAGCACATCATCGGGTAGCCCATAGGCCGTAATAACTTTCCTTAAAAACCGCTTTTCGATATGTGACCCCGTTTGACCTCGGCAGGTCAAAATGTGCAAATAAACGACACTCAATAC